TAGATGCAACATACAATATTTTTTTTTATATGATAAGGATGACAAACGAGCACACAGTCCACCCGATGGTTTTAAGTGGTTGCTGCGGCCCATAGACATCTACATCTATCCTCTATTACAACGTTGTTACCCGTGAGGATTTTTTTTTATTTTTAATTATTAAATAACATTTATATATAAATATATATATATATATTATATTATATATATATATATATATATATATATATATATATATATATATATATATATATATATATTATATACTAGCTGTGCCCGCGGCGTAGCTCGCGAATATAGGTTTTACTTAAAGAATTTGACGTTTAGGGTAAGAGAATATTAAACGATTTATATCATTACTGTATGAATAAGTGGTAACAAAATAAATCGATATGCTCAAAGTTGTAAGTCGTTTATGATAGAGCTTCTGTGTAAACGACGATAGAAGTAGACTTAGCCGGGGCGTACAGAAAAAGATTACGGGGACTACTAACGCGGGAAAAACAAAAATAGAGTTGGCCATGTGCAAAACAATCAGTACTGAGGTCCACTCCTGCAACGCGTAAAGTTTGACCTTGCGCTTTATTTACGATCGTCGTATAACACACGCTGAGTGGGAAACACACTTAAAATAGGGATGTTAGATGATCATTGATGTTAAAAATTAAAACTTCGATGTTTTAACATCGATGTTGACATATGTCAAACATCGAAACATCGACGTCAATGAACCCATAATCGATAATTGGGAACTTGCAAACAATGAGAACTCGCGAAATCAATATAACTAAATATTGCATCTGCTTTGCATCTGCTCTGAAGATTAAAAATTTTGTATAATTCAGAATTTCTGAACGCATCGTTAACCTAAAAAAATGTCAGTATGGTGAGTCAAACTTAATTGTCAAGTGTCTCCTGTAATGTCACAATGGTCACTGCTTTCGCTTTATTTTGTAGTGTTGTTGTCGGTTGTCGCATAATAACTATTCTACGTAAATTGATATTCAAGTTAATTGTTACTTTTCCCTTGCTGTGTATACCCACATAATTTTGAAACAATGTGTAAGTATCTACACATATACAAAAACCATCGATAATGGTCAACATCGATGTTTTGAGTAGCCTAAACATCGAACATCGATGTCATCATCGATGTTATTATCCCTATCTTGAAACTGAAGCCTGAGCCGTGGTAGCTCAGATGGTTAGCGCTCGCTGTAAGCTTTACAGTACTCGAGCAACTCGGGTTCGATCCCCGCCGGCACCAATTAAATTGTTAATTGCAATTTTAAGTGCTCATTTACCACGTGCTCGGCGGTGAAGGAAAACATCGTAAGGAAACCTGCATGTCTGAGAAATAAAAAAAATATTTCGATGACATGTGAAGTTCGGCAACACGTATTGGGGCAGCGCGGTGGACATTTCCTTGCCCTAAAACCCTCTCAGAAATGAGAGGAGGCCTGTGCCCAGCTGTGGGACGTAAATAGGCTGCAACTTAACTTTACTTTACTTAAAACTGAAAGGAAAGTTATTTGCTTATTTGGTATTAGAGGGATTCTGGGTATAAAACAATATCACTATCACGACATTTATTGCAATTTAGTTACTTTTAGTCGAATTGAATATTTCAATATCTCTTTTTTCTGGTTTTTGTTTCTGATGATTTTTGTGATGTGTTGTCTAACCTACACCCTTCGTCAGACTTTCAGTGAGTCTCAATACGATTCACCTGTGAAAAATCTTAACACCGCAATTCAGAAAAGGTTGTAATTTGTACAACGCCATCTATTACGTTCTTTGTGAGAAAACATTCTTTTTTAATTTAAGGAATACATATTTTTTACTGTGTTTTAAGTACTATAATAGAACGATACGAAATATATTATAATAGAACGTTTTTTTTTTACACACGAATCTTTTTATTACTATTTCTGAGATTTTGTGGCGCCATTAAACAAATTCGAACCTACATTTCAAAATAATAATCATAACTTTCGATAGAATTATCCAATTTCAATAAAACAAAGATTAAATGAACTTGATTTCAAAAATTTTAACCTGCCTTTTGTATCACATTTTTGCCACACCACCATCTATCGATGAAATTGGTTAACTATTGTACTTTAATTTAGTTTAGATAATAAGGTTAACATATTTTGTATATATTTATTACGTTCTTTATGTAATACTTTTGTTTACTGCGTTTTAGATATAATTATATCATTATAAATCATTATTTTATATCATTTAATTATGAATTATAATATGATATTAATTTTAAAATGTACTTGATGACTCCTCCAACGCCACTATTGAACAAATTCGTACCTATACTTAGTACCCATACTTCAGAATATTTGTCATAACTTTTGATGGAATTAACCAATTTTAATGAAATAAAGACTAAATGTAACCTGAATATACACTTAATAATTTCCTTAACTATTCTTATGATATAAATTAGTACTTTATACGTGATACGTTAACAAACAAACAGACAGACAGACAGACAGACAGACAGACAGAAAAATCTAAAAATGGTAGAAATGTATTTATTTACTTATTTTTAGTACCTATCAATCACTTCTATTACAAAAATATAAAATGTACAGACATCTGCTATTTACATTTTTATTATATGTATAGATAATATATATATATATATATATATATATATATATATATATATATACATGTGAATGATATATATATATATATATATATATATATATATATACATGTGAATGATATATATATATATAATAATACTTACTAGTTAATATTTAATGAATATAAAATTTATATAAGAATTTATAGTATGGTATAGTTCTTAAGAAATTTTTAGAGTAATACAACATTCTAGACTCAAAACCAAAAATTCGCGTACCTACGCTATTATTACGCCCCGGCAAACCCTAATCAAGATGTGGGATTACAGGCTTTATTAATTTTTCTGCTATTTGTGATTGAGACCGATTAGAATACTCTTGAAATGAGAGGGTGAAAGGGCAACGCACTATCTAGTGACAGTATACTCAAACAAGTACACACACTGCCAGTACGTCGCCTTTATCCACCGATTTAAAAAAAAAGAAAAGTTCTCAATTCGACTATGTCTTTTGAAAGTGTATTACTTCAGAACGTTATTATAATGGAAGCAATTTTGATGAAGCCTTTTTTATTTAAAAACTGGTGCTTTTTATGTTGTAACGTATGCATTTGATTAAGATCTGGCCAGTAGTTTTTGAGTTATCCTTAATAATGTATCCTGTAGTACGCCGAAAGACTGGCTATTCAAAAGTACACTGTAATAGGTACATAATCAAGCCACACTCAGGCTTAACAAAAAACGTTCCACTCTTTCATCAGATAAGGATAACCACGAACAACCATTAAAATTGAATTATGGCTACAGTTTGTGCACTTATATATTTAACCTAGTTTAATAGGATAGGGGCCTTTCATCAATGGCTTGCTTTATCAGCAGTAGTTTTATAGAACTAAGGGTTGTAACCGAGCACACTATCTACAATCGATTATCATCAATTGACATTCCCTGATACGTTGTGTTTACCTTGAGAGGTCTCCTACCACTACTTTTATTTAATGCATTCAAGGACACTATATTATGCAGAATTTTTCATTTTTTATAAAAGGAAACTAACTTACAGTACATCTGATGGTAAGTGGCTACTGCAGTCCATGGACACCTGCAGCCAACTACAAACAAAGAAGGCTACAGATGCGTTGTCACTTCTGAGGACTAAGATGGGATGTCTCACGGCCTGTAATTATATTGACTCTCTATAACTTTTAGACCGGCACATAGCAGTTACAAACATTACAATTTGGCGCAAGATAATAAGTAAAAGGGTGGTCACAGACGGAATGTTAACAGGGCGTCCCAAAACCGAAGTACCAGGAGAACATAAAAATATAGACATCTGTATAAGACATAATCTATCTAGCAATTATTATCCTCGCGACTCTTCCATTAAACAATATTAAAGTTATACGAATACCGTCAACTTAACTAATTTCTAAATGCATTAGCACATTTCTAAACAAAATTTCTACAAAAACTGACAAACCAACCAACTTAAGTATTTTAACAAACAATTTACTACTATTATAACTCGCTAAAATAATTCCGTTGCGGAAAAAATATGGGTAATATTTTAAGAGCGTTTAAAATACAAGTTATTCCTCGAGATAAAAGTTGTGAAGAGAGGTTTTATCAATTAATTAAAGATAAAAGCACAATCAAATGAAACGTGAGTTGTTTTTCTAAAGAGCACTTGTCTAGGAAGTAAAATATTATTACGGGAGAATCAAGTTTTATACGTGGCAGAGCAATATAATAGTTATAGTACGAATGGGTCGACTCGACCGAAGAAAGACCACGCTCTCACAGAATACTAGCGTAGTAATACCGTATAAAATAGCAGTATAGCAGCTTAATGCTGCTGTGTTTCGTATGGTGAATGTTGCTTTTTTAACTAAAACGAGGCATTCCATCTAAAGCTGAACGCATATTTGTACGCGTCGCACGCACCGCACGCGCCGTACGCGCCGAATTTTACAATTCGTTGTATGAAATGATATGAAACCTCGCAAATTACACCCGCACCGTACGCGCCGAATTTTATAAAATGCGGTAGGTATACGATATCGAAGGATGAATGCTGATGACGTCATATAGCGCGGCGCGTGCTGATACTCAGTGTTGTCTAATGTTGCCAACTTAGTGGATTTTCCACTATAACTGGTGGTTTCGACTTACATGATAATTTATGTATTTTATAACTTTTCATTCATTCGTAATTAATTATACATAATTTGATTTTGTTTTGCATTGATTATCAATATGTATACTTAGTGATAAATTATTTAAATACTGAACTAACAAAAAAATTGTTAAATTTAATTCAAAAACCCAATTATACCTGATAACTTAATTATCAATAAAAATTCTTCTTCTTCTTCCTTGCCTTGTCCCTTTATTTGGGGTCGGCTCTCCTCGTTTTTATGCGCCAAGATTTCCTATCTTGGGTTGCCTGTATTTCAAGCTGTGCTCGCTCCAGATCCTTGGATACGGTTGTCCACCACGTGGCTAACGGGCGTCCCCTGCCTTTCTTTTTCTCAGGAATTGCCAAGGCCTTCCTCACTGGGTGTTCTTCTTCCCGCCTCATCACATGCCCATACCATCGCATACGACTCTCGACCATCTTATCTACAATGGGCGCAACTTTAAAGGAACCTCTGATGTACTCATTGCGCACTTTATCAAGTCTCGTTACGCCTGCTGACCATCGTAGCATTTTCATTTCATTCGTGTGCATCTTTTTTTCGTGAATCTTCTTGGCCGCCCAGCATTCGGCACCATATAACATGGCAGGTCTTACAGCAGTTTTGTAAATCTTGCCTTTCAGTTGTATTGGCATCCTGCTATCGCAAAGTATTCCTGATAGGGTTCTCCACCTTAGCCACGCTGCATTAATTCTATGAGTGACGTCTGCGTCAATGTTGATATCCGCTGTTAGCACTGACCCGAGGTATTTAAATTTATTGACGCAGGGCAGTGGCTGGCCGTCGATGGAGACACTTATGTTAGGCGTATATTGTTCACTAAAACTGCATCTCAGAAACTCGGTCTTGCTCCTGCTGATATGGAGGCCATTGTTCTCGAGAGCCTGTCTCCATTGCTCGAGTGTCGCTTGCAGTCGAATCGCACATTTGTCGATGAGCACAATATCGTCCGCATATAGCATGCACCATGGGAGGGGGGACTGGATGTCTTTAGTTAGATAATCCAGAGATAGGTTAAATAGGAATAGGCTTAGTGCCGATCCCTGATGCACTCCGACCTTAACTTGGAACGGTTCGCTAAGTCCTGCCAGGCTTCTCACCTGTGTGCTTATGTTTTGATACATATCATGCACCAGGTGAATATAGAGTTCTGGTATTTGTTGTGCTCTCATAGCTTCCCAAACTAATTTACGTGGTATTCTGTCGAAAGCCTTTTCCAGGTCTATGAACACTAGGTGGAGGTCTTCTCTGTTGGTTCGGTGTTTTTCCATCAGAATCCTTATGGCTTGGATTGCATCAGTTGTTGATCTTCCTGGCGCGAAACCACACTGATTATCAGATATGGACACCAACTGACAGAGTCGATTGTTGAGTATGCGCTCCCATAGTTTCAAAGTATGGGAAGTAAGTTTGATACCCCTATAATTGCCGCAGTCACTGACATCTCCTTTGTTCTTGTAGAAAGGTACCAGATAACTATGACGCCAGGACTTTGGGATCTTCATGGAGGTTAAGATTTGATTAAAGAGCTTCGTTAGCCACTGTACAGCAATAGGCCCCAGCAGCTTCCACAGATCAGCGGGTATACTATCCGGTCCAACTGCTTTGTGGTTTTTTATCTTTTTCAGAGCTCTTTTGACCTCCTCTTCACTTATTTTGTTCAATGGCCCAGCTACGCTAGGGGTTATATTCAATGGTTGACTCGGGAATTCTTCGTTCAGTAGTTTTTGATAATATTGGCACCATCGCTCATTAATTTTGTTATCTTCTGTTAGTAAAAGGCCATTTTCGTTTTTAATGTATTTATTAATTTTAATATCCAGACCGTTTTTATGGCGTTGTTTGGCGAGCTTAAATATATCTCTATCATTGTTTGCATTTTCAAGGCGTTTGTAGAACTTTTCCCTGGAGTAATTTCTTTGTTTCGCCACTTTATACTTCGCCAGCTTTTTAGCGGTTTTATATAGTATGCGGTCGTCGTCCAAACCTGAGCTCTGCCATTGTTTGAAGCACTCTTTCTTGTTCCTTAATGCGCCTTTTACTTCTTCATTCCACCATGAAGGATCTTTGTTATTATGCAGCTTTCCTCTCGATATTCCTAAGGTTTTCTCAGCTGAATTCCTGCACAGGTTTTCAAATTTAGACTACGTATTCTCCGCAGAAATGTTATGGCCATTTTTCATATCTTCAGTTAGTATTTCCCGTATCTCCTCTAATAATTTGTCTCCTATTTCTGTGTTTAACAGGTGCCACTTAATTTTGGGGATTTTCACCGTGGTGTATTTTATAGGCTTGATTAGCGCTATACAGCCGACCAAAATTCTGTGCTGTGAGGTCAAAGATTCTTCCGGTATTACCTTGCAGTCTCTGAAAGTTCTTAGTAAATCTCTGTTTGTGAGGATATAGTCAATTTGAGATTGCTTGTTCCCGCTTTTATATGTGACTAGGTGTTCCGACTTTTTATTAAAGAAGGTATTAACTACTTCCAGGTGATGTCGCGCGCAGAATTCCAGTATTTGTTCTCCGTCTTTGTTCAGTGTGCCATAACCAAACTTCCCTTGTATGTCTTTGTACGTCGTGTTATTGGCTCCAACATGGCCGTTCAGGTCTCCTCCAATATATTTTAGTTCCTCGGGTGTCATTAAGATTAGTAAGTCATCAAACTCGTCCCAGAAAGCTTCTTTCTCACTTTCGCCACACCCGGTCTGTGGTGCGTATGCCGAGATTATGTTCAAGGGGGGTTGGTTATCCATAGCCAATTTCACTGCCATAAGTCGATCGTTCCTTCTTTCTACGTCAATAAGAGGTTGTTTGAGGTTTTCATCCAAGACGATGGCAACTCCGTTACGCATGCTAGTATTGCCACAGTACAAGAGCTGGTATCCGAGTCCCAGATCTCGTGACTTCGACCCCTTCCACTTGGTCTCTTGTAGGCAGCATATGTTAATTTTTCGTGCCTGTAATACTTTCGCCAGCTCTTGACCCCTTCCTGTTAGTGTGCCCAAATTCCACATAGCTAATTTTATTTTAGATTGTATTAAAATATGCGACTTTTCGTTCTTGTCATATTCGTCGCTTACGGGGAACGCCCTAGCATATTCTTCATTATCCGCATACTTCGCATTTCTCTCATTCACGTCGCTTCTGGGGTACGCCCTAGCTGTATTCACTTTCTTTATATTACCTTTTTTCATGTTAACAAGGCCGTGTAGTGGCGGTCAAGAATATCCACTACCCCATATCCTCCCGTGGGTGTCGTAAAAGGCGACAAAGGGAAACAGGCAGGAGATGGGCAGCAGCATCTTCCTGATAATAGCCAAATTACAATAAAAAAACTGCGGTTGCCAACCCGCTCGCCAAGCGTGGCAACTATGGCAAATACCCCCTATGAATGACAGTAACAAAAAAACGGCCCCCAGTCCCCGGCGGCCCCGCTATTCCTGGCTACGGTGGCGACCATGGTAACGGCGAGGCAGGGGGTGCTAAGAATCTCCGGTGGAGGTTCGGTTGCCACCTAAGACGACTCGACCTGGCACCGTACAACGCACGCACCCTGAGGACTGACGAGAAGATCGTGGAGCTGGAAGAAGAGATAGACAAGTTGCGCTGGCATATTATAGGATTATCCGAAGTCCGAAGAGAGGGGGAGGACACGGTAATCCTCGAATCCGGCAACTTGCTCTATCACCGGGAGGGCGACCATCTGTCCCAAGGAGGTGCCGGATTTATCGTCCACAAGTCTCTCGTTAACAACGTTGTAAAGATCGGGAGTGTGTCGACGAGGGTTGCGTACCTTATACTCAGAATCACCAAACGGTATTCGCTGAAGGTCATACAGGTTTACGCACCAACCTCGGCACACCCCGATGAGGAGGTGGAGGAAATATATGAGGATATCTCTAGAGCCATGCATTCCTCCAAAACCCAATATACGGTGTTAATGGGAGACTTCAATGCAAAACTAGGCACAAGAGAGAACGGTGAGCTGAAAGTAGGGAAATTTGGAATAGGGCAACGTAACCCAAGGGGCCAGCAGCTGGCCGACTTCATGGAGAAAGAGGGACTCTTTATGATGAACTCTTTCTTCTAGAAGCGGCCCCACAGAAAGTGGACCTGGTCGAGCCCCGACGGTTCCTCAAAAAATGAGACTGACTTCATTATGACGACCAGACGACAACTGTTCAGTGATGTCTCCGTGATCGCGAGGGTGAAAACTGGTAGCGATCACCGAATGGTTAGAGGCACACTGAACCTAAACGTTAAGTTGGAGAGGTCTCGTCTAATGAAGTCAACGCTCCGTCCCCCCTCGTGCTCTGTTCCAAAGTCCCGAAACCTTTCAGCTCGAGTTACAAAACCGTTTTCAGTGCCTGGAAGACTGCAATGAAGTGGACGATATGAATGACAAGCTCGTGGAAACTGTCCATGCGGTCGGAGCTAAGTTCTGCAAGACCCGCCGCAGAAGAACACAAAAACTCTCCGATCACACTCTTAATCTCATGGCTGTTAGACGGGAGATGAAGCTACATTCTTCAACAGACTTGACAGGATACAGGCATCTGAACAGACAGATCTCCAAAGGCATGCGGCGGGACTTACGCAACTTCAATACAGCTCGTATTGAAGAAGCGATCGAGCGGAACCAAGGCTCCAAACTCTTTGCCAGAGATCTGTCTGCCAGAAAGAGCCAACTGTCAAAGCTGAAGACGGAATGTGGCAGCATCGTTTCCGGGACACCTGAGATTTTGAGTGAGATTGAGAGGTTCTATGGGCAGCTGTACACATCATCGTTGGAGCCACACGCAAGTGTGAGTAACGATCCAAGAGCGAGTCTCATCCGACACTATTCCGAAGATATCCCGGATGTCAGTCTGAGCGAGATTAGGATGGCTCTCCAGCACCTTAAAAACGGTAAGGCCCCAGGCGAGGATGGAATTACAGCGGAGCTTCTGAAAGCGGGTGGAAGACCGGTACTTGAAGTCCTTCAGAAGCTCTTTAATTCCGTCCTCCATGGTAGCATTACACCGGAGGCGTGGAGCAGAAGTGCGGTGGTCTTGTTCTTCAAGAAAGGTGACAACGCTCTCTTGAAGAACTACAGACCGATTTCCCTTCTGAGCCGCGTCTACGTGCTGTTTTCGAGAGTCATTACGAATCGTCTCGCGCGCAGACTTGACGACTTCCAGCCTCCCGAACAAGCCGGTTTCCGAAAGGGCTTTAGCACCATAGACCACATACATACCCTTCGGCAAGTTGTACAGAAGTCCGAAGAGTACAATTTGCCACTATGTCTGGCGTATGTGGACTATGAGAAAGCCTTTGATTTCGTCGAAATTTGGGCGGTGCTGCAGTCCCTTCAGCGGTGCCAAGTTGACTGTCGGTATATCGAAGTGTTGAAGTGCTTGTACAGTAGGGCTACGATGGCTATCCGAGTACAGAACCAGAGTACGAAACCTATCCAATTGCAGAGAGGTGTAAGACAGGGTGACGTCATATCCCCGAAACTTTTCACCGCTGCATTGGAAGACGTTTTCAAGCTTCTGGACTGGAAAGGATACGGTATCAACATCAATGGCGAGTACATAACTCACCTTCGATTTGCCGACGATATAGTCCTTATGGCAGAATCGCTGGAGGACCTAAGCACTATGCTCAATGACCTCAATAGTGTTTCCCAACGGATAGGTCTTAAGATGAACATGGACAAAACAAAGATCATGTTTAATGTCCATGTCACACCTATGCCGGTAGTTGTTGGGAGCACTAAGCTCGAAGTTGTTGACGAGTATGTTTACCTGGGACAAATAGTCCGACTGGGTAAGTCCAACTTCGACCGAGAGGTCAATCGACGGATTCAACTCGGCTGGGCAGCGTTCGGGAAGCTACGACACATCTTCTCGTCAGACATACCTCAAAACTTTAAAACGAAATTGTACAACCAGTGCGTGTTGCCAGTGATGACTTACGGAACTGAGACGTGGTCCTTCACTGCTGGCCGTATGAGGAAGCTCAAGGTCGCTCAGCGAGCTATGGAGAGGGCTATGCTCGGAGTTTCTCTGCGTGATAAACTTAGGAATGAGGATATCCGCAGTAGAACCAGAGTGACCGACATAGCCCAACGGATTAGTAAGCTGAAGTGGCAGTGGGCCGGCCATATAGCTTGAAGAACCGACAACCGATGGGGAAGAAAGGTTCTCGAGTGGCAGCCTCGTACCGGTAGGCGAAGTGTAGGGCGTCCCCCCACGAGATGGAGTGACGACCTGGTAAGACATGCAGGAAGTCGATGGATGCAGGTGGCTCAGGACCGTGTTTTGTGGCATTCTTTGGGGGAGGCCTATGTTCAGCAGTGGACTTGTGAAGCGCTGTAATGATGTAATGATGTTAACAAGGAGAAGAGTGTTTGACTGTAGTTTTACGGCCGGTTGTCACCTGACGCCAAGACTGTACCTTACTCGCAAGGTGTGGGCGCTGCCGTTGACCCTTTCATGGGTTCTTCCGCCACCATCCCTACTGAGCATTCCAGCCTAAACGCTCAGCACTGCATAGACCTCACCTTCAAGTATGTCGAAGAAGCTCTCTGCAGGGGTTTGATACGGAGTGTCCATCTCCGGCCTGTTGGTCCGCGGGGGCTATTTTATTTCACCCCAACCCTCTGAACACCCCTAACGGAGCGTCCAGCGAGCTTTCCCCCATCCGCCACCTGTGGACGCGTTCTCTAGGGATTAGGCTCCCCCGAGAATTATCAATAAAAATTGTTAAATTTAATTCAAAAACCCAATTATACCTGATAACTTAATTATCAATAAAAATAATTACCTCAAACATACAAGTCTTTTCTCTGGTTCAATTGGTCTTCTAAATCTTGAGTTTTAGATATGGTTTTAGTATATGTAGCAATTCTTGGAATTTCTTTCTTGTATATTAAATGCAAATATCTAAAAAAATCGTTCATCATCATCTATTAAGTCTTTAAATAAAGTATATCCCCTTCATATTCTCCATACCTCCATGCTCCATGCCTTTTTAAATTAATATTATGAATCCCGAATCTTCTTTTTTTTCGAATTTTATGTTCTTCTTCTTCTACCAATAAGCAGGCTATTACTATATTTCTTTCCATAGCGATTTTGAGCGATCAATTTCACTGTACAGTTTCACACCAGTGGTTGGACAAAACTACAAAATGTGTTGGCAATACAAAAGATTTGCTTACGGCGCGGACGATGCGTATGGGCAAATGTGCGAGGCCATCAGTAAAATTCTACGCGTGCAGCGCATGCGACGCGGACAAGTGTGCGTTCAGCTTTAGTCCTCAATGATAAAAAATCATACGCATTTGATTGTTTATCAATGATAGATATATATGTCTATAGGCATTCACTTACAGAATGTGTGCTCATTTGTCACCCTTATTCTATTAAGTAGTCCTTCTTGGTAACTACTAACCTCTTTCCTATTTCCGGCGCCAAGAAATAGTGCCCGTACCGCTGTGTTCCCATCTGAAGGGTATAAGTACAATCAGTATATAGGCAATCTTGGTCTTTAGAGATGATAACGCATCTGTATAGCCTTCTTTGTTTGAAGTTGTATTTGTTTTGAGAATGACTCGTTTAGATACGAAACGCGTCATAAAGAATATGTAAGTTTTTCTTAGAGTAGTGGTGTTGGGAATAGTGGTGTTGATGATAGTGGTGTTGGTGATAGTGGTGTTGAGGATAGTGGTGTGGGGTTTTGTGGTTACAGTGATAGTTCACTTAATTGTAGGAAATACTCACTCACTTAATTGTTCATAGTTCATAGGTAAGACATACGATTTCACGCGGATCTTAGATAATTAATTTGCACAAATTTTTATTGAGGACAGATGTAAGATCCATTATCACCCTATCGATTTTTGAAACTTTTTAATATCTTTTCAACTTGAAAGACTAATGTTTACTTAATATAATAAAATGGATCTTATGTTAAAAAAACCTTCGCCCATTTGTTCCTTTTAATCCAAAGCAATATGAAAAATACCAAAGATGTGAAAACTTGAGTCGTAAGTCAAGCATAATGGCTGTTCTTGGATAAATATTTAATCTGTAGAGCTCATTCCGACAGAGAATTGGTTGTTGAATAATGTACGCTAATATTTTAAATATGGCTCCTTTTTCGTACGTTCTCTTTTATTTAAAAATATGCTTATTGAATGTTTGTG